TTTTCAAGCTGATTTTGTTTTATTTTGATGGCACGCTTGTGTACCACGCCACGACGTTGGTCGTTAAGTGGTGTTCATTTTTCTAACTACTCCAGTGTTCCGATGAGTTGAACGGAAAAGCCAAAACGATTGCTGGTTTCTGATTGCTTCGGTTCTGGTGAGTGTGTATCTAGTGTGATTCGAACCCATGTCGTTTGTATTGGGCGTTTTTTTATTTTCCATGTTAGCTACGCCGTAATATGCAACCACTTCCCCGTTTTATTGTGATTTTGAGTGTTTAATGATGTCTTCCTCACCCGTCACGCCATGACCCAGTTTCAACCACACGGCCATTTTGCAACACAGTTCGTGACCCTCGGCGTCACCCGACTGACTATATGAGCGTTCTGTTCAACTGTTAAGCTAGGATTTATTACCGTTATTATCATTATATTGTCACGTGATTTGTTTTACCTTATGTGTAATGTCTTAAGTATCTTTATTGTAATTTGTATATACCAATTCGTATATACCGAGGAAACGACCCCGATTGAAGGTCATGTATTTTATGACGTCACCAATTCGTGTGTAGGTACTGCTTCTAGATCTGTGCCAAAAGTAGTACAAGTAGTATCAAAAGAAAATTATACAATTCTATTTCGTGTTGTGAAACACCCGTTTACAAAACTTCCAATGCTTTTTATCATTTCCCCATCTCTACTTTTAAGTTTCTGGAATGAATTTGTGATTTTAGATGGAATTCAATATCTGTCAGGATTTGTTGTCGGTCTGAATGAATGTCTCCAGAAATATATATAGTTTTCTGTTATTAATATTTTATAAAATAACTTTAGAATTTGATGAAGATAAAACATCTTTTTCTTGTAGATTCTCTTCTTTCAATTACTTAATCATTTCTGAGCAGAAACCATCATGAATGATCATGACCTTTTCAGATTTTGGTAACTCACTTAGTAACACATTCCTGGTGTGGACTGCAATGCTGTCTGTTGGTGTAACATTTTATCATATACATGTACATGTATATGTAAATTAGCGATTCAGCTGTCAGCTGGGTGTTGTTTTCATAGACACCACTAATGCTATATTTGCTTTGTTAGAAGCGCATCTCAAATAGAAGTGCCTATGACTCCAAAATTGCATGCAAAATCCTTGAAAATATTACTTATTTTTGCCTTAGAAACCACTGTAATTTAGATACAGTAACCGCAATAGAGACAATTTGGTATATGCTGATATTCACACTCTTTTCCTTCTGTAGTAACAACATGCTTTACCCCAAAGAAGACAAAGAAAATAGAGTGTTACTTTATGCGGTGAGTAAGCCCATGGAGGTAGAAAAGAGAAGGAGTAAGGACGCTATTTAAGCCCATGTTAATCTTATAAACATCCTTTGTTTTCAGTCTGGTTAAGCCACTTATTGTTTTTGTTTAGAAGTCGTTTTATCTACATGATGATAGCCGCTTATTTACACAAGAAAACGAGAGTAGAACTGAAAAAAATAAATTACGTTTAAACATCGTCTATATAATTGAATGCGCAAACCATAAATACCAGAATTGTGCATGCGTAATGACCTTTATCGGATCACAAAGGTCATTTCACACTTGTAGATACCGGAAATTCTGCATACGGACGCTCCCAAGATGTGTGCTTACTTCTTTTTGATATTTTTTATCGCAATAGTCGTCCAACTTTGGACATTGATTAAAAAATTCCCGCAAATTTCCGCAGTGAAATTTAAAGATACATGATAAGATTATAACAAGATGTTTTGACTCGTCATTTTTCATTGGTGTGCAGAACTGTGCAGATGTCGAAAATCACGCCTTTTGTTGTAATAGATTTCGGGCATTGAGTACACTCAGCGTACGTTTTTCGCGGCATTTTGTATTATTGTTATTTGTTTGGGCATGCGCAGTGCGTTGAGAATCTTCGTGAAGCTTCCGAATACAGCCGAAACACGTAAGCCGATTAACTGTGACATTGTACAGCGTGTTTGCAAACTAATTACAATGTGTACTGAGTAAACAAATCCAAAGCATCATGAAACCAGCGGAAACAATAGCGTCCTCACTCCTTCTCTTTTCTACCTCCATGGTAAGCCATACTTTAAATACCGCCATTTTGCTTTGGAAACATAATTCAATTACACTTCTGTTCTTGTACATGTAGTCGTATAGTATTGTATCATTACATTAACTTTTGAAACCATGTATTGTTATTTACAAAGCTGACATTCGTAGTACTGTGTAGTTGTGGTCTGTGCCTTCAGGGTCTTATTTTGACTGGGACTATTACGTCATGCAAGGATCCTTACACTGAATCCAAAGAAAGTTAAAAACTTGCTGTAAATACATTTAAAGTGAACTGTAACTGATTGGAAAACAAAAATACTTTATTGAAAATTTCTGTCAAGTACTAGTAATTTGCATTCTAATAAGCACTCAACAGGAATTTTCACTGGATGTTGCTTTTTAATAATTATGTTCCATTTTTTGGAAACATTTGACTTTCCATCCACGAGTACCCTATTTTCAATATTTTGCATAACTCTTAAATTGGCGACTTTACAAAGGAATAAAACTACTAAAGAAGAATCTCCTGTTGAGTGATTATTAGGATGTTGTCTAGTATTAGTATAATTTACTAGAAATTTTCATTATAGTATTTTTTGTTTGTTTTCTGATCAATTATCTTACATAGTTCATTTATAATGTATTCTGCTAGTTTTTACCATAGTTTTTACCGTTGGATTTATCAACACAATGTCCTGATTATTAAAATATGACCCCTACACCTGGACTCATGTTGAAAACACGTTTGAGTCGGCTGTTTGTCTCTCATACAAAGTTGACATTATGTATATACATGTATGGTAGTAGAAGATAGTACATTATTCATGTGATTCCCCCAGGGTTTATTTGCAACTAATGCTAAAGATGAAGTTTGGCATTTCAAGAAGCAATATTATAATTCATATTTTTTTCGAACACATATAAAGATAAATAAGAGAGATGAGATAAATAAAAAATATTGCTGCGAACCGGTCTTATGGCATATTTTTTTAATTTACCTACATTGCTTTCTTCATATTCAACATGCAGGTGTTGTTTGAGTTGTTTTCTCATGATTTGTTCATTTACCGGTAACAACTTTATCTCTGATTTCTTAGGAAATGTTATGTCGTAATGCAATGTGATGTCATGCTTTTTATTTAATCTCTGCAGTGTCGTAATTGTGACTACCAACAAGAGGCTGATAATACTTGTATATATGTGAACAAAATCCAGCATGAAGTCGAGTAAGTGCTACAACCAAATTAACATCTATCAAACATTCAGTGATAGTTTATACATGCACTCTTCAAATCCTTCCAAAATTTGTGTAATTGTTTCTCAGGTCTGTATGTTTATTCTATTTTTGTATAATCCAAAATGCATCTGTTTTTCTTTTAACATACGATTTTTACTGATAATACAGTGTAGATCATTATGGCTATTTTCCTCACCTAAAAATATGGCTCTATACTAGTGAAATACACTAAAATGGAATAAAAAATTAGATAAGGTCACCAGAAATAACCATAACAGAAGTACTACTTTCCTCATATCATTGTAACGTATGCGTATCTTTAGTTAATTGTACACATAAAATTGCTAGCATTGTATGCTACCCGGGTACATATAGATCAGTGGAATATGACCATAGACAATATAAGCACATGTTCTTTTAGTTAATATTGTATGTGTTGTTGATTTAAATCCTAATATATATTAGAACATATTATTTACACTTATTTCTAGTCCTTTATACTGCCACACATTTTTTTTTCTTGGATAAACCAAAAATTGCCTTTATTGCTTACTGGAGTGTTAAAATATGACTTGTATGTTGATGGATAACTGTTATGTATGCACATTCGCTGGTGATAAAGCAAATAAATTATTGTTACCGGGTTTTCGTTAAATTTTCTATGAATCCCTTATTATAATGTGTGCCATATGTCTGTTTACATTACTACTTTGTCTTATTATGTAGTGAGTTAACACAGATTGTAGCTGATGTCATAGCCGATCCCACTCTTCCGAGAACAGAGGACCATCCATGTCCAAGGTGTGGTCATAGAGAGGCAGTGTTTTTCCAGTCACAGTCTGCCAGGGCTGATGTAAGTATTGACTGATTTTTAGTGGATTGATTGCATAACTGGAAAAGTATGATAGGAGGGATTGAATGTTGTTTTAGAAACTTGTACAATGCACTGTGTGCTTATGTTAACTTGTCACATTGGGCTAATAAGACTTACTAGTAAGTGTTTTTTTGGACAGTAGTTGTGTTTGCACACAGCTTCTTAGCACAGGCTCAAAAACGCTAAGTGCTCAAAATACCATTGTATTAATGTTCACTTGGTAGATTTACTATTAGATTCATAACTATTCATTTCGGTATGCCATTTCCAACATGACAATCAACGCGAGCACATCTGGAGAGATATTGTTCTCGAGAAAAAAATGAACTGACGATGAGACTACTTCATGTTATGCTGCAATCTGCACTTTCCAAATTTGCTTTGGTATTATTTTAAAACCATAGAACTAACATGTATACCTTCCTGGTTACTGTACTGTAATCATAGTTAAAAAGACTGAAGATACGTATATTCTTAACAAGTTTGGGCATTCGTTAGCCTGTGCTAACCACTGCTTCCTTGCATGCATGAACGTGATTGGGTCTAGCTGATATGCAAACATACAAGATTAGCATAATCTTGGCCTGTATTTGGTGTAGCCTGAACATGACTAGTGACTGTTTTCCCCTAAATCTCTTGTGATATATATCGGAGGTATTAGGCAATCAATAGCTACACTCATTTGTCTGCTTTTATTGTAGAGCAGAGAGAATGTACTTGTCCAGATACATGTAGTCACTTATTTTAACAAACTGAGAAATTAATACAGTAAATAAAATTAGAGAATAACACTATTTCATTTCCTGATTCTCAAATCAGACCATGTAGCTGACCAATGTTATATGAAACTTTCATCCTCCTTGTTGTCTTGATAGAAACCACTGATGTGAACACTGAACTATTATAATTTGAAATAAGTTCAAAATTTGTACATGTAACCATCTCTGATTGTTTTGCTTCATTCCAGGAGGGTATGCGACTTTACTATGTGTGCGGTGCTTCTAGCTGTGCACATCGATGGACTGAGTAGGGGGAGTGCACTGCATTTTACAACATATTGTACTGCCACTATTGGACTATTTACTGTGATGACTTCTAGGGAAGAATTGAGTGAAGCTCATATTAATTTCAATCTTGTTGGAAAACTACCATGTGATCTCTCTGGGAGTGCTTACATTGCATGCATAGAAACGGCAACATAAAATGTGTTCTCCAGAAATTAAATGGCTGAAAATGAGAATGCAAAGTCATTTTTTCATGTGCACTTTTTATACTCTGAATCAAGTCGACTGCTATTCATTTTGTTGGGATAATTCTTTAATTTTACAGGCATATCATTGTTTCGCTAATATGTAAAAAAAAAAGTTTTACTGTGGATCAGATCAGAAACCATGTGTATTTCATTTGTGTCTCAACACTGAATATAAACAAATATTTGTGTCACTTTTCATATAGTTTCATGTGTGTATTGACAAACTATGTTGATATTTGATTACATACAGCTCTCTGTAGACAATGTTTTAACATTCTTATTAAGGACGTATGTATGTGTATATGACAAAATTAATGTGTTTTGTAAACAGTTTTTATCAGAACTATTTTGATAATAAAATCAAGGTATAATTAATTCTCCATTACATTTATGCAGTGTTTTTTTTATTTATTTATTTGGTGATTATGTAAATTCTTTTTAGTTGATAGTTAAAGTACTGTTCTGTACATTGGTGTGTGTGTTAAATGTGATGAATTTTAATAGTAGGAGTTTTCCTCCCACAACTTAATCCCTAATTATTAGTCCCCATTCAGATGCAGTTCAGGAACTACCTTAATGGGTTGACCTTCCTTCATGTGTATGTGTGTGCGTGTACATGCATGCGCATACTCATCCGTTCGTATCCAGCGGTATCTTTCCCCAGCTTGGATGAATCAAGTTCAAACTTCACACATAAGACAAAATGACACATTTTCACCATTCCGGATCATGTCTCAGTCGTGCATGGAAAGATTCTGTTTGAACTTGGAACCTACATTCAACATAATGAGACCTTGATGCACATAATTTTTTATATGCCTAGACAATCAAATTTAAAATTCACATGTACATCATATTGTTGAATTTGTTTCATAATCCGGATCAAGAGGGATTGTATGTGTAATACAATATGGTAAAAGAGGACTTTTCTGGGATATAAAGTCTGATGTACTCGAGATAAATTGTTGAGGGTAAAGACATTTTATAAAGGATAGAACATTACTGTAAAGGGGGTAATTATTCACTGGGTTTTAATTTAGCTTATTTCGCTGACTGGAAAAATGCGCTAAATTAAAACACAGTGAATATGTAAAATTTAACATAGAACACATTATCTAAATGACGAAACCGTGAATTTAAAACCCACTGATTATGCCTGAAATGGTAAATCAGTGAAATTTAAACCCAGTGAAAATTAGTCATTTTACAGTATATCAAGAAAGTCCCAGTACGAAAACAACCACATCGAGGTCACGACTCGGTTAGCCTTGCTCAACTGGTTCGTAACCAGTCTTGTGATTGGTTGTTGACAAATGCTGAACAGGCCACGCCTCCAACTGTGTCATGCGTTCGGACTAACCGTTTAGTTAGGAATTCCTAAATGGAGTAAATTTGTGTAGTTTTCTTGATTTATTCTGCAGATATCGGTAAAATGTAGGTAAGGTTTTGGCGAAATTCGAAGGAGCAACTAATATTCTTCAACCTGGTATTTTTTTAGATTTTATTTTTCATTCTTTTCGTGTTTTTTTTCGAGTTTAAAAAATGTGAGCTGGCTGGAGCCTTCATCCCTTGTCTATTTCTTACACTAGATACTAGCCGATACCCCCCCCCCCCCCCGCTCATAGGGAGTGCGTACAGTTGATCATAGTTCCTGGGCTCCCTGTGGTTCAATTTGTTCAGAAACCCACATTGTTTGCGTCAGTGTCCTTCATTCAATCAGATAGACCGCATTACCTCCAGCGACCAGACATCAGCTAATACTCCTCTGCACACACACAGAGACAAACGCGCAATGGAACGGTTCGGAATTCGATTAAAGAACTGACGCGATCGAACGTATTCTACCAGGCTGGCATTCGTGTGATTATTATATATACCCTATGTATAAAATATGTTTTTGAAATGCAGTCCCTCACCCCCTTGGCTATTTTCGCAGATTTTTCGTCGCCGGAGCGATTCACGTCCCAAATTTTGGTTCTCTGGGCGTCTCCAATAAATACTCTATCTAACCGCTGGACTGAATTATGAAAAATTCATAGAGGATTGGGCGAAAATCGGTCGTTTTTGGCCTCAACGTTTTTTTGCTCGG